CGTGGGTCCTGGCGTGGTCCCCTCTCACTGTTGCACTCAGCTCCCTAGGGCTCCCAGGGGCAAGCTGCCATTTTTAGCCTTCCTCTTACCTGAGGGCTGGAGGGAAAAATGCTTGTAACATCCACCCATCAGCCTTGTGTCTTTAAATGAGCCCCGGCCTTAGCATGCCTTCCCTGGCAGCGCCAAGGCCATTTCCCAGTGAAGTCCCCAGGTGGAGGAGTCTGGGCAGCTCTGTGTGTGGCTTGGGGACACGCCTGTTTGTACATCTCAGGAATTCTCCACTGAGAAGCATCAGACGTTCCTCAGTCCCTGCCAGGGCTCTAGCGTAAAGAGTTCACAAGCGCAGAAGGGGACAGACACACCACCATCTCCCCGGTGAGGGCCAGCTTCTGGCAGGGTGGAAGGCCAGTGACGCGCGGCACCAAAATCAGGAAACTGCCCGGGGCCCTGAGCAGGGGGTCTGAGCGGGGGCCGTGGAGGGGCTGCTGCAGCCCCAGCCCTACAACCTGGATGGTGGCTGCCTGGGGCCTGCTCACACGGCTGGTCTGCTGTGACTCAGCTCAAAAAAGACTCAGTGTTCTGTCACATGTGACTCTGAGCAGGAATGGTCAGACCACCCGACATTGGACCTAACCACCTGTCTGAGTGAAGCTCCTGGTGTATCTATTCCAACCCACTGTTAAGTAGCTCCTGGTTCTTTCTCCAAGGCTCTCAGAGCAGAAACTGAGACCCAAAGAGAAATGGACTCACCCAAAACTCAGAGTTTATGTCAGAAAGAGAACACGATTTTCCTGTTCCCAGTTTGGTGTCAAAATAAATATAACATCTACTTTATCTTTTACAAAAATCATATTGCTGTGAAAACTAAACTGTTCTGGAGTCAGATAGAGCCGGGTTCAGATTGCAGCTCCACCACTTTCCAATTGTAGGAGAATAAATAGCCCCAGGGCAAGTAACTGACCATCCTGTAGTTCAGAATTCCTTCTCTGAAAGGATACCTACTACATGTGGTCGTGGGAAGATTAATTGAGATAATGCTTGTAAAGAACTCAACCAGATGCCCAGCTCCATCTGTAACCATTAGCTGTTTTTGTTACCGCTGATGTTGGTAGAAGTATTTTCATGAATATTATCATTAGCATTGAAATTGGTATGATGGCCCATTACCTGTATTTGGATCTACATGGAGGAACTGAGAGAAGTGCTTTTGCCACTTAAGCTTTTTAAATCTTCACTTTGAAATTGTGTTCTTGCTCTTAATTGGCTTGTAATCAGTTTAACAAGTTGGCGGAGACTCCCCTGACCTTTCAGTGGTTAAGAATCTGCCTTGCAATTCGGGGAACTCAGGTTTGATCCTGGGTCAGGCAACTGAGATCCCCCATACCACGGAGTGACTAAGCTAACGTGCCACAACTACTGCAGGACTAGGGAAAATGGTAACAGGCCCACAGGTCTCCCTGGAGATGAAGAACAGGCATAGTGGCAGTGAAGGAGTTGAAAGGGAAGGCTGTGGTCAGAGGCTGATCCAAGCAGTGTGAAAGTTGCTCCTGGTGACGAAAGGTCCGGGGAGTGGCCATGGGGATGGTATCCAAGGAGAACAGGGTCCCTGGAGGCCCTTAAATCCAAGGAGGTCCAGGAACTCTGAAACTAGTTTACTGGATGAGCAATTCACATAGCCTTTTGCCCAATTCCAAGTTAGATTCAAGTGACCTGAATGAATGAGGTTTTACCCTATATCTCATCAGATTGCTGCCTGGGAAGGTTCTTTTATGTAAAACTTAATTTGACATGAAAGAGGAATAATGCACTGAACCCAGGCATTTATTTCTAATCCTTGCCTTATTTTTCTAACCTAAGAGGGGGGTTGCTTAAAGGTCAGATTGTGTTTGTGTGTGTGAAAGAGAGATGGGAGAGAAAGGACAGCGTGTATCACAGTGTCTTGTCGTCTGACCTTTTCGGCATTTTAGCTCCAGGCTAGTGGGGGAGCAACACTGGGAGTCTTGTGAGGACGCTATATATCAAAATGTCACCAGCCACCAAAGACATTCTGTTCCCCAGTCCCCATACAAATACTTGGCATTCACACCCTGAGCAAAAATTCACAGTAAATTTTGGTTTGGCGAGCATAGCATTATAATTATGCCACGAAGGGCTTTTTTTTTTTTTAACTATTTATATTCATTGTACAAGGAGAAGAGGGCTGGTGAGTCAGGAGACACGGCAAGCTCCCCACCCCTGCCCCCACCAGCACTTGCTCTGTGACGGGGAATAAGAACTGTGGTCAGGGCGACACACGTTTAGCCCCTTACAATGTAAAAATCTCCTACAGGGACTTCAATTCCCGCTCAGGAAACCAAGATCCTGCATGTCACATAAGTGTGGCCAAAGATCAAAAAATTTTTAATAAATTAAAAAAGCAAAAATCGCCCCCAGGGCTCCCCTGGTGACTCAGTGGTTAAAGAATCTGCCTCCCAGTGCAGGAGACGTGGGCGTGATCCCTGGTCCGGGAAGATCCCACGTGCCGCGAGGAAACTGAGCCTGCACACCACAGTCGCTGGGTCTGGGCCGCAGACCCCGAGCTCTGCACCAGGAGAGGCCCCCACGGTGTGATGCCCGAACACCACACCTAGGGAATCCCCCACCCACCGCAGCTAGACCCAACCCAGCCAAAACAGCAGCAAAGACCCACCACAGCCAAAAATGAGCAAATAAAAAAGTCACCCCAGCTTTGAACCCTCACAAGAGCCCACCAGAGTTGGCCGGATAGATATTATGGTGCCTGTCGACAGACAGAAACCTGAGGCATAACACAGAAGTGAAGTGACAGGTGTAAGACCACTCGGTTGCAGTGGCCGCGCCAGGTCAGGCCCACCAGCCTCCGACCCTCCTGACGGGACTGTGGCAAGTGAGCACCTCACCGTTTGGGCTCCGTAACATGAACCTGTCTCCAGATCCCCCAGCAACAGCCCCAGCTCACTAAGCTTCTGGAAGGACCGTGGTAGGAGCATGCATTTCTACTGTTCTTATTTTTGCTTTCTCCCTTTTCTGGTTGTGCACTTCCTTTCAGAACAAGCCTCTTCAGAAACAGTTTCTGAAAATTACTGAGCCATGTTTGTAATGCACATGTAATTAAGGAGTATGTAGATTAGTCATTTTGCCAAAAGAAGTGGGTATTTAATTATTGATGGACTCTTTTTTATTTCTTCTAGGTCCTTGTTAAATATTTCTTGCATCTTCTCAATCCTTGTCTCTGGGCTATTTATTTGTAACTCCACTTTGTTTTCAAGATTTTGGATCATTTTTACTATCATTGTTCTGAATTCTTTTTCAGGTAGACTCCCTATCTCCTCCTCTTTTGTTTGGTTTGGTGGGCATTTATCATGTTCCTTTACCTGCTGAGTATTTCTCTGCCTTTTCATCTTGTTTAGATTGCTGTGTTTGGGGTGGCCTTTCTGTATTCTGGCAGTTGGTGGTTCCTGAAGTAGGTATTTAAGATTTAATACTAGCTACAGGATAAGGGTCTATTGTGTAAAACAGCTTATCTTTGGATTTCATGTTTGCCTTTGGTTTTACAAAGTAACTTGTATTTTCAGTGTTCTCTACATAAGATGGTACAATGTGGGCTTCCCAAGTGGTGGTAGTGCTGGAGAACTCACCCGCCAATGTAGCAAGAGACCTGAGTTTAATCCCTGGGTCGGGAAGATCCCCTGGAGGAAAGCATGTCAACCCACTCCAGTATTCTTGCCTGGAGAATCCCATGGACAGAGGAGCCTGACAGGCTACAGTCCACAGGGTCACAAAGAGTTGGACACAACTAAAGCGACTGAGTACACATGATAAAATGTAGAGCAATCACAATGTGTTAATAAAGTGGGTAAATTTTCTGGGAAAAAAAAAAAAAGGATAAGCCATGCACAGAATTCTGAGGTTGGAAACAGTGTATTCTTGGTCACTTCGGTGTTCTGCCCCCCACAAAGCCCCCAGCCTCTTCAGACATACTCCTCGCCAGCACAGGACACCCACCACGTGTGCCCAGCCGTAAGGGCAGGCGTCTTTCTTTCCACAGCTGGTCCCAAGCCGATCCCAGGCCTCCGGTTCACACGACTGGGAATAGCAGGCACTTCTCCTGCCCTCGAGTCCAGACACCCCAATACTGATCAGTCAGGGCATTTTTTTCTCAATAAATGTGACTGCAGATGCTGTCAGTCACAAATTGACCCATGAGATGACATCTCTTTTGGTTCATGGCTTAAGTCATTTTTAACAATTCACTTCACACTTGCTTCCAGAAAGACTCCAAGGAGAGACACAACACAACTCCAAAAAGGCAGGATCCAAGAGCCAGAACGGAGTCTGGAGAAGGCGTGTGCAGGGAGCCTCGGCTGAGGGAGCCTGCCGTGAAGGGCAGGAGACAGGTCTCGGCTTCCTGACACAATGCTAACAGGAAGCACCGGTCACCAGGCCAGTCATTTTTTAGGAAACACAACCTTCTTCCTGACCTTGGGATCTAGGAGGCAATTCTAGTGTAGATTTTAAATAAGGCAGCGTGCTTAGTCGTTCAGTACTATCTGACTCTTTGCGAACCGTGGACTGTAGCCTGCCAGGCTCCTCTGTCCGTGGGATTCTCCAGGCAAGATTACAGAAGTGGGTAGCCATGCCCTTCTCCAGGGGATCTTCCCAACCCAGGGATCAAACCCGCATCTCCTGCATTGGCAGGCGGATCCTTTACCACTGAGGCCCCGGGGAAGCCCACCAGCCCACGTTAGAGACAATGATATGGCCTCCAGCTCCCATACCCCTGCCATCTGCCTTCCCCACCCTCCTCCATCATGGGGCGGGCAGAGCCGGAAGCCCAGGAGCCCGCCACGTGGCACACACCCCATGAGTGAGCTGTGCCCTCACCCCCTGGCCTGCACCTCCCCCTCCCCAGCGCAGGCTGACGTCTGCCAGGGACCAGCTCAAGGAGGCAATCACAAGCCCTTTCCTCTCCCTCCCCACAGGTTTGGAATAAATTGCCTCATCCAGTTTGAGGACTTTGCCAATGCCAACGCCTTCCGCCTTCTCAACAAATACCGCAACAAGTACTGCATGTTCAACGATGACATCCAAGGTAGGTTTCCACCCAGCCTGACAAAGCCGCTCGGGACTGAGGCCTCACAAGGCTCACCTGGGTGCCAGGGTGGGGCGGGGCCACCCTAGAGCCCGTTTACTGCCGGCAGCTGTTGAAGACACAACAGTAAATCTAGATTCAACTCCCTCTTGGCTAATTCTTAGCTCTGTGACCTTCAGCACATCCTGTAACTTTGCTAAGCCTCAGTTTTCTCGTCTGTAAAATGGACAACATTACTGTTTCAGAGGAAAATAAGAATTAGGTAGTTAGGGTCATGAAAGATATTTTCAACAATGCTATGATTTAGGACTCATCAGACCGAAGCATCAGCCACCATAAAAATGGCCTTGCCCGGCCACAACTCACTCTTGGAATTTCTGAGCACACGGTGTATCACTGTCAGGGAAGCAGGATAAGGCTTTCCCTTAATTTGGCTGGCAGCTTCCCCTGTGACTCAGTGATAAAGAATCTGCCTGCCAAGCAGGAGACATAAGTTCGATCCCTGGGTCAGGAAGATCCCCTGGAGGAGGAAATAGCAACCCACTCCAGTATTCTTATCTGGGAAATCCCATGGACAGAGGAGCCTGGTGGACTACAGTCCATGGGTCGCAAAAGAGTCATACATGACTTAGTGACTAAACAACAACAGTGTAACTTGGCTGGAGTGAGCGCCTTTCACGGTGATAGCCCTGGAACACTCCAAGAGCATCTTCTCATTCAGTGTCGCCTTGGTTCCCTGTTCAGTGAGCTAGAAGTATCTGAAGGCACTTGTTTCCTGCTGTGGCAACACCAGCATGTGGCTGAAGTGGGAGGGGTGGTCCCTCCAGGCTTATCTCACCTCATCCAGGATTTCTCAGTCAGGAGCATGGCCAGCTGTTCCTAGTATTTCATGAAGCCTGATGGAAACCTTGATGAGTTGTAAGTTATTATTTAACTAATGAAGTTTGGCAAGCAAGATCTTTTCAAACTGAGGAACTTTTCAAATGTCAGGTAATATGAACAAATTGGTGGGGGACAGGTATTGGCCCCTGGGACTTAAAGATGGGCCAGCATCTTGCAGATGGGGCCCAAAGAGGTACCAACTTTTCTTCAACCGAGATAAAGAAACCTAGGTGGATTCAAGCCTAGTCAGAAATATCTAAGGATTAGAGCCAAATACTCATTATACATCAAGCATGGTTCTAAGCACTTTACACATTAATCCTACCACATATTACCAATCCTTTCTTGTAAATGAAATAACGGAAGCACAGACAAAATAACTAATGTTCATAGCCAGTAAGTGTAGAGTTGAAATTTGAACCCAGGCATTTAGACTCTAAACTCCAAGTTCATAATCGCCCACCCAGATTTTGTACTCATCACAAAACCAAATGCCTCTTTCTTCCCTGTGGTCCACATTGAGGGCTAAAGAAATATGATATATGATCTTTTTTTGCATTGGTCAAGAATGACGTGCAAATTCGTGAGGTGTTCTGTATTTTGAGGGGGCTTCCCTGGTGGTTCAGACGGTAAAGAATCTGCCTGCAATGTAGGAGATCCAGGTTCAATCCCAGGATTGGGAAGATCCTCTGGAGAAGGGAATGGCAACCCACTCCAGTATTCTTACCTGGAGAATCCCATGGACAGAGGAACCTGGCAGGCTACAGTCCATGGGGTCACAAAGAATCAGACATGACTGAGCAACTAACACTTTCACTTTTTCTCTTTCATACATTTTTAAGAGGCAGATTAGCACAGTTGGTTCAGATGAAATTATGGTGGTCACGGGTGCTTCACTGCTGGTCCAGTGGTTAAAAATCCACCTCGAAATTCAAGGGACATCAGTTCAATCCCTGATTCAGGAGCATCCCAGATGCCCAACTGAGCCTGTGTGCCACAACTATTGAGCATGTGCTCTGGAATCCGCAAGCTGAAACTTCGGAGCCCACATGGGGCAACTGCCTGACCCTAGAGCCATGCTGCACAATTAGAGAAGCCAGACATTGCAGCTCAAGTGCAGCCCTTGCTCTCTGCAACCAGAAAAAGCCTGTGCATAGCAATGAAGACCCAATGAGCAAAAAAAACCCCAAAATGTGTGTGCATGCACACATACACATACACACACACACACACACAATGCCGGAAGAGTAGGTGTCCAGAGAGGGGAGCCCCAGAAAGGGAATGCTGGGGCATGGTGACCGCACCCCCCAGCCTGCCCCCACCCCATCCCCCGGGCCAGGGACAGGCGTTGGCAGTGCCAGCCTGGCCCGCCCTGGACAAGCGGGGCGCTGTGCAGACCACGGCGCAGTCCAGGAACAGCGGTCCCCTCACTGCTGGCCCAGCGGGCAGGGTGTGCCTGCAGCCAGGGGGGAAGCACCTGCCTGCCAGCCCCTGACCAGCTCCCAGGTCACACCCTTGCCCGTGAGCTGGCAGCAGGACAGCCACCATCCTCCTGGGCCCGCGGCTGCCCAGGCCGGAGGGCAGAAGTGGAAAACAAGCCGTCGTGGGCAAGCACAGCTTGGGGGAGCAGGCTCCAGGTGTGCACACAAACACACACACAGAACTGTAGGCTCGACGAGTGTTTTCCATCCACATGGCCTCACAGCTTCCCAGGCTCACCCGCCCTCCGTCTGCAGGGCGAGCGGACACGGTTGTCCACATCACTGGTGAGCGTGCTGCTCCAGGTCCCTCAGCCTGACATAGAGCCGGGGCTGTGCTGTGTCCTCAGTCGCGCAGTCGTGTCTAGCTCTTTGCGACCCCACGCACTGCGGCCCACCAGGCTCCTCTGTCCATGCAATTTTCCAGGCACAAATACTGCAGTGGGTTGCCATTTCTAGAACCAGCTTCTTCCTTTTTTTAAAAAATTTTTATTAGAGTATAGTTGCTTTAGAGTGTTGTGATAGGTTCTACCGTACAGCAGCGTGAATCAGCTATGAAAGCGAAAGTGTCAAGTCGCTGAGTCGTGTCTGACTGTTTTTGACCCCGTGGACTGTAGGCTCCTCTGTCCGTGGAATCCTCCAGGCCAGAATACTGGAGTGGGCAGCCATTCTCTTCTCCAGGGGATCTTCCTGATCAAGGGATCCAACCCTAGTCTCTTGCATTACAGGCAGATTCTTTACCACCTGAGCCAATATAGTCCCTCTTTTTTGGATTTCCTTTCCTAGGTCACCATAGAGGTCACCATTGAGTAGAGTTCCCTGTGCTAGTCAGTAGGTGCGTGCATGCGTGCTAAGTCACTTCAGTCGTGTCTGACTCTTTGTGACCCCATGGACTGAAGCCCACCAGGCTCCTTTGTCCATGGGATTCTCCAGGCAAATATACTGGAGTGGGTTGCCGTGGCCTCCTCCAGGGGCTCTTCCCGACCCAGGTATGGAACCCACGTCTCCTGCACTGGCAGGTGGGTTCTTTAACACTAGCACCATGTGGGAAGCCCATCCGGTAGGTAGAACCTAACTGTTTCTCAGCCGGAATTCTCCGCTGTCTCTCTGAGCAGTCAGGCTGCCTGTGCCCACCGTGGGTGAGCTGGAAAGCCTCTTTGCCGAGGTTTACGTTCCAAACCCCACATCAGTGTGGATGTCACTGTTCTTCTCACCTTCCCCATCCTCTCTTTTTGAGGCTCACAGTCCCCACACCCCAGCAGCGGGCCTGGGGAGAGGGACAGGCTCACTCAGTCATCAGCTGGTGAGTGATGGGCCAGGACCAGAAGCTTGTGCTATGCACTGTCATTGCTGAACAAGCGTTAGAAGACTGGTGAGGAGTCCCGGGGCTAATGGGGCAACATGGAAGAGCTGCCCCCCTTTCCTTGCAAATAAAAAGTAAAAGGAAACCTGTAACTACATCAGTTCAGTTCAGTCGCTCAGTCATGTCCGACTCCTTGCAACCCCATGGACTACAGCATGCCAGGCCTCCCTGTCCATCACCAGCTCCTGGAGTTTACTCAAACTTGTGTCCATCGAGTCTGTGATGCCATCCAACCATCTCATCCTCTGTCATCCCCTTCTTCTCCCTCCTTCAATCTTTCCCAGCATCAGGGTCTTTTCCAATGAGTCAGCTCTTTGCATGAGGTGGCCAAAGTATTGTAGTTTCAGCTTCAACATCAGTCCTTCCAATGAAAACCCAGGACTGATCTCATTCAGGATGGACTGGTTGGATCTCCTTGCAGTCCAAGGGACTCTCAAGGGTCTTCTCCAACACCACAGTTCAAAAGCATCTATTCAAAAATGGAAAGGGATACCTGCACTCACGGAATTGGAGAGGGTTGGGAGAAAGTTGTGGAGAAGGCAATGGCACCCCCACTCCAGTACTCTTGCCTGGAAAAATCCCATGGACGGAGGAGCCTGGTGGGCTGCAGTCCATGGGGTCGCTAAGAGTCAGACACGACTGAGCAACTTCACTTTCACTTTTCACTTTCATGCATTGGAGAAGGAAATGGCAACCCACTCCAGTGTTCTTGCCTTGAGAATCCCGGGGACAGGGGAACCTGGTGGGCTGCCATCTATGGGGTCGCACAGAGTCGGACATGACTGAAGCGACTTAGCAGCAGCAGCAGTAGCAGGGAGAAAGTGGGGAGGGAGGGTGGGAGGAATCACAGTGGTAAAACAACACCACAGGCGTGTCCCATGTGGTCAGTGGGGACAGGCCCCTAGCAGGATGCGTGGTCAGAATCTTCTGGAATCCCATAATGGCTTGGGCTGGGACCAGGCTGCCCGTGTGAAATCGAGAAGTGGGATTGAAATCGAGAAGTGAAATGTTTCCTGCCGTATCGGTAAACAAGGATGTCACAGTCATCAGCGAATTCAGCAGCAGTCCTCCGTGTGAACTAGTGAGCCCCCAGGGCACTCAGGGGAGAAGGAAATGGCAGCCCACTCCAGTGTTCTTGTCAAGAGAATCCTGTGGACGGAGGAGCCTGGTGGGCTGCTGTCCATAGGGTTGCACGGAGTCAGACACGACTGAAGCAGCTTAGCATGCATGCATGCACTGGAGAAGGAAATGGCAACCCACTCCAGTGTTCTTGCCTG